GAAAACATCTCAAACACGGGAGTCTCTACCTTCTCAGCATGCCAAACAGTCTATGATCTCCTCCCTGCAAGTCTCTGTATGTTCTGCTTCAAAAAGCTGTCCAAATTCTGTCCTTCAGGGTGTTTGTGTAGGCTTTATTGAATAGGTATGAGCTCTAATAAACTGGGCAGGGAACCCCAAGAACGGCCTTTCTGTTCAGATTCCTCCTCCAATGAATGGGGCAGGGTCCTTCTAAATGAGGAAGACCTTGTGATTTATTAGGTCAGTATTTCTATACAGCCACCTAAAGGCAAGGGGAGACAAGAGTTTCTATAACCCGCATTTAGACAGGAGTTATAAACTAGTATCCATGGTCAAAAACAAAAATATAGGACTGGGATTGTGGTCAGTGGTAGTGTGTTTTGTCTGCTATGCTCAGTGCACACATACATGCACGCTCTCACATACATATTCCAGAAAGAAAAGGCCCACCCAAAAGTGGGCAAAACAGCTTTATTGAAGTATAATTGACATATTTTTAAAAAAGAACTATTTGCACCTAACTTGTGCAACCTGAGCTTAGGAACAGACTAGGCAATGTCTTATCCATTTCAGGCTGCTAGAACACTACCACAGACCGGATGATTTACAAGCAAAACTTTATTTGGCTCATGGTTCTGGAGGCTGGGGTGCCCAGGAGTGTGGTCTTTGTACCGCATCATCTCATGATGGAAGCCAGGAGGGCAAGGGGCGGGGGGGGGTGGGGGGGGCGAACTTGCTTCTGGGATGAGCCCACTCTAGCAACATTAACCCATCCCAAGGCAGCACCTTTCTGACTGCTGAGTCAGGCCTCACTCCCAACACTGTAGCATTGAGGATTAAATTTGCAACACATAAAATCTCAACCAGTAACAGGCAGCAGTTGGAATAAGACAATGAGTCAGTAGAAAAGCTTCTTAAGCCTGGTCCTGTTTATAGGCTGAAGGTGGGGGAGCCAATAAGGGAGAAAGCTGGGGTTCAGAATGACGGTAGATCAAGCAAAAGAAGGAACAAAGGGAAACGTGATCAAAGGCACAGGTGGGTGAGTTGACAGTCTGCAGAAGGACGCGGCTCTCCTTCTGAAACTAAAGGAAAAGAGGCTAAGTAAATATGGATGTTTTACATCACCTTTGATGCTTGGGATAAAGATTCCCAAACTGGAAATCACGAGCCCTTTCGTGAAAGCTCTGATTCTGTTATTTTTACTACAGCAGTCTCAGATGAGGGTTTTCAAAGACCAGCTGTCTTAGTTAGGGTTTCTATGCTCTGTGTCTATGAGACGCCATGACCACAACAACTCTTTTTTTTTTTAAGGTTTTTATTTATTATGTATACAACATTCTGCCTCCATGTATGCCCGCACGCCAGAGGAGGGCGCCAGATCTCATTACAGATGGTTGTGAGCCACCATGTGGTTGCTGGGAATTGAACTCAGGACCTTTGGAAGAGCAGCCAGTGCTCTTAACCTCTGAGCCATCTCTCCAGCCCCCCACAACAACTCTTATAAGGAGAACAGTTCATTGAGGCTGGCTTATAGTTCAGAGGTTCAGTCCATTATCATCATGGTGGGAACCATAGCGGCAGGCAGGCAGACAGGGTAGTGGCTACATCTTGATCAGAAGGCAACAGGGACACTAAGTGGTATCTTGAGCATCAAAGCCCACCCCCACAGTGACACACTTCTCCAACAAGGTCACACCTACTTTAACAAGGCCACACCTGCTAATAGTGCCACTCCCTATGAGATTATGCAGGCCAATTACATTCAAACCAGCACACCAGTCCTAATAGGCACAAAGCCCACTGCTTCTTTGGCAAATGAGCATAGGCTGTTGTATTGAGGGATCCTTTTCCTGTACATGCATGTTTATTGTGGTACTGTTCACAGAAACCAAGATACAGAATCAACCTTAGTGCCTGTCTTATCGTGCTGTGACGGCACACTGACCAAAACCAAGTTGGGGAGAAACGGGTTTATTTGGCTTACACGTCCTTGTAATAATGACAATACATTATTGAAGGAAGCCAGGACAGGAACTCAAACAGGGCAGGAACCTGGAGGCAGGAGCTGATACAGAGGCCATGAAGGGGCCCTGTTTACTGGTAAGCTTTCCCTAGCTTTCTCAGCCTTCTCTCTGATAAAACCCAGACCCTAGCCCAGGGATGGCACCACCCACCATGGGCTGGGTCCAACCCCATAAGTCACTATTTAAAAAAAAAAAAAATGCCCTACAGCCAGATCTTACAGAGGCATTTTCTCAACTGAGGTTCCCTCCTTCCAGACAACTCTAGTTTGTGTCAAGTTTACTACTAGCAGGCACAATGTCCATCAACAGAAAAGAAAATGGAAAAGAATATATAGTTTATATACACAATGGGGCTTTATTTAGCTATAAAAACGAAATTATGTCATTTTCAGGTAGATGGACTTAGAACTAGTTATCATTGTGTTGAGCGAAATAACAAGACTCAGAAAAACAAGTATCATGTTTTCTCTCCTACATAGACTCTAGATTCTTCTGGGAAAATACAACCCTGAAAGTAGAGGAGTGAGCACTTGGGAAGGGGAAGGGTGTCCGCAGAGAACATGAGGGTGGAGTAATCATGGCACAGTAGCTATACCGTGAAAATGCCAGAATGAAGCCCACTTTGGGGGGGGGGGGTTGAAACAGTCTCGTGTAGCTCAGGCTGGGCTTAAATACACCAGCATCTTAGAATGACTAAGTCCTGCTCCTGCCGCCACCTCCCCAGTGCTGCTGGTATTACAAGCATGTTCCACCACACCCAGATGAAACCCAAGGTGCCAGGTCTTGCATTACTATGCTGAGATATTAAAAGGAGAAACTGAAGCTGACTTGGGTGTTTGGAGATGAGGACTATCTTAGGTTTTCTATTGCTGTGAAGAGACACCACGACTAGGGCAACTCTTATGAAGGAAAACATGTAATTGAGGTGGCAGCTTACAGTTCAGAAGTTCAGTCCATTATCGTCATGGTGGGGAGCACAGCATCATGCAGGCAAACATGGTGCTGGCTACATCTTGACCAGAAGGCAACAGGAAGTGGACTGTGACACGGGGCAGTTACTTGAGCATAGGAAACATCAAAGCCTGTCCCCCATGGTGACTCACTTCCTACAAGGCCATACCCACTCCAACAAAGTCATACCTCCTAATAGTGTCACTCCCTATAAGCTTATGGGGGCCAGTTACATTCAAACTATCGCAGGGGCTTAGGGAAGTGATTATGGTTGCCTTGGGTATTAGGGTGAATTCCTTAGGGTTGATGTCACAGCTCCTTGGCAGGAGGACGGTGCCTTTTTGTTTCCTGTTTCTTCGAGGAATGGCATATTACAGATGCACAAGACATAGTTCTGAAGGAAAGAAGAAATTCTTTCCTTTTTGGACACTTCTATGAGGACATTATAACAGCCTTCTCTTCCATATAGGCCCATCAAGTAGCCTAGGAATGGCACACTATCGACAGTTCTGTGGTCCCTGTCTGAAATTGCTGGTCTGACGTAATTCTAAAGATGAGTACCCCACACCACATGGACGGCGCAGCCTGCTCTTCAATGTTAGTTTCACAGGAAAAGAAAGATAGTGACCCTTGTTAACACTAATGCTGTAGCTATGGGTTGTGATGCCTAGCTGCCTCTCAGTCCTCAACAGCAATTTGGGTTCTGATATCAAAACACCTGGGTTTCAATCTCATTTCCATCACGTAGTAACTCTGCTCCCTTGGGCAAGTTGTTTAATCTCTGTGCCTCAGTACAATTTCTCCAAGTCATAGTGTCACCCACCATGGGAGCTCATGCCTGTAACCCCAGCACTCTGGGAGGCCAAGGCAGGAGGGCTGGATGGCTGCCTGGAGTTTGAGGCCACCCGGAGCTCTATTACAGAGCAGTCATAGCTACACAGTGAGTGGCATTTAACGTATTTAAAATAGTACCTTTGCACTTGGCATTTTTATTATCAGTTTTATAATCAGATAATAATATATACTACTACATTTACGTAAATTCTACATTAAGAACAAGTATCCCCCCATAACACTGCAAAGTGTGGCGGGGGGGGGGGGAGCGGGATACTAAATGCTCAAAAATTAACGTGAGTTGTGTTTGATAGACACAAATGAAGACGTCTCTAAAATGTAATTTAGATAAGAGGGGTCTGGGGATATGTACACATCGTCTATTATTTTCCTGTAATTAGTTGCTAGATGCTTTGTGACTTGGTCTTTTTCTTGCCCTCTTCAAAGCGTGGAGTTTGTTGCAATGCGCGTTACAGTTCTCAGAAACGCTAGCGGCCTGACAAGCTGGCTGTTTGGCTAGTCTGAGGGCTGAGGTTGCTGCAACAAAAAGTGGGTTACATGACAGAACAGCTCTGTTGCTGGAGGTGGAGGACCAATAGCCTCCGACCAAACGCACAGGGCGAAATGGAGCAGCTACGGTCTTTGTGAAGGTTCCTCTGGCCACTCCCGAGCCCAGTGGGTACCTGACGGTAAGTACCCCATGCTGAGCCGGGAGACCTGGGTGGGTGCGCTGATAGAGTCGGATAGGTGCGTTCTTCCCAGCCCGAGCAGGTGTTGGCTGGTGGCAGCATCCGCACGTACCCTGCTCTGCCCCGGGAGCGGGTCGGTGGGAGCCTCGCTACAACGCCTGCAGCCCAGACCCGGGCCAGCTACGGGGCGCGCTGACCTTGCCGCGGGCGGCCGGGCTGGCGCAGTCTCCGCGCCGCAGTGCCGGCTGCTCCTGCGGGCGCCCCCTGGCACCCTGACCGCCCGTTCCTCGGCCGCCGCCGCAGCAGCGCGCCCGTGCTCCCACCGCGCGCCACGCGCGCCACGCCCGCGGCTAGCCCAGCAGCGCGGCCCGCGCCCGCGGCTCGGGAGGGTGGGGCGGCGCGCGCCCACAGGCCGGCCGGAGGCGCCGGGCGCGGGTGCACGCGCAGCGGGTGGGCGTGCTCCGGGCGCGCGCGCCGCCGCCTCAGCCTGTCGCGCCGCCCGCGCCGCCCGCTCCCGGCGCTCGACCCAGCACGTCGGCTCCGGAGCGGCCGTGGGCAGCGCGGGCCCGCGGCATTAGAGTCCGCCGGCCTCGGACCCGCGTCCCGCACGGGGACTGTCCCGGTAAGCGAGGGCGGGGGCGGTGGGACCCGGCCGTCACCCTGAGGGGCGGGTCTGCGGTCCTGGACAGTCCTCCCCGGACTTGGATGCTGGTGTGGGAGCCGCCCCCAGGGGGCCCCTGTGCAATTGGATGCACCCCAGTGACTGCCGTCTGTACCCCTAAGGGAGTCCGTGGGGCGGCATGAAGGGAGACGCCCAGGGCGCTCTGCACTTTCTGCCTTGCACAGCCCCAGTCTGCAGGGCATCCTCCCCAGGCCCCCAGAGAGGCCTTCTGTGTAAGAGTGGCAGCATCAAGGTAGTCTCTGGACTTGGCTCCATGCAAGACCATCTAGGGACCCCAGAGACCTTCCAGGTGGTTTTGGTGAACCCCAGGTTATCTCAGCCTGTGCCCCAGAGATGCCCAGAAGGAACCCTTGCCTGGAAAAATTGGATCCGTTTGTAGCATCATAGCTCCAAGGACTTTGGCATTGACCTCCTATGGGGCTCAGCATGCCCTCACTTGTACCCCTGAACATAGTGGAAAGGAGTGGGGACTCTGTGGGACTGTGGCCTTTCTTCATTCCAATTCCCACCCTGCCCCCATTAGAATTTCTTTTCCGTATGATAGCCCGGTTGGCTTCAAGCTGGACTTTAGGGGGGACAGAAACTGCTTCTAAGAGCACAGGGCCAAAGGGGTACCTGCACCAGTGAGGCCTCCAAATCAGAGATAGGAGATCTGAGCTCTTGAGTTTGACTATCCAGAGAGCAGTAAGACCAAGTTTCTGGAGGAGGGAATAAGGAAGAGGAGAGGGTTTTTGAACATCTTACATAATAACAACAGTTTCATAAACTTGCCCCATTTAAACATTAGGTATTTGTGATGCAGAGATCACAAACGTTAGGAGGATGGCGTCTGTTCTTCAAATTTAACTCAGAGGAAAGTATCTAATAGGGGCAGAAGAAAGAGTGGATGCTGGTAATCAGTTGTGGTGTAGTGTCAAGCATGGAGCTCTGCCTTAGCAGATGCTCAGCAAATGTGATTCCTAAACGGATAAGGTCGGTTTAACTGAACATGGAACCATGGGAGCGGCTATCTACTCCATCCCCAGGTTGTCAGGACTTGCTTGAGAGAACTAAAGGGGCTCCCAACAGAGTCTCCTGGGGCCACCTTCCCTGCTGCAGGATCTTGGTGACAAAGACAGGGAGACACTGTCACTTCTGAGTCACCCACACTTCCCTAGTGGCCCTCCACGTACACCAGAGGACACTCATCCATAAATACACTCGGGACACTTTGCCGAAGAGTTCTTCTGTGTGAGGGAAGCAGGAGAGTGGGAAGGGTGAGAGCCAAGAAAGGCTTCTGGGAGAGAAAGCCTGAGTCTGATACACTAATGCCCCTGTCTCACCCCCTCAACACTTTCATTCCAACGGAATCCTAAGGATTTAACTTTGGACCCAAAGATAGATTCTGGCTTCTTATCCAAAAGTGGAGTGTTGAAAGGGCCAAGCAATGGAATTTACCAGAGAGCCATTCTGGAGTGTTCCTGTTCGTCTCTGTCCTCCTGCACAGCCAAACCTAGCAGCACCCTCCTCGTTGAATAAATCCAGCCTCCTAGAGCAATGGCCAAATCAGAGCAGAGGTCCGTCCTATAGTCAAGCTTGGTCCTGGGCTTCTTTGAAGACATATACACCGACTCGGTGACTGGGGCAGGGAGATCGCCACAAGTTGAATGCCAGCCTGGGCTACAAGGAAAACTGTCTCAGAAAACCAAAACCACACAAACAAGAAAACACTATTTTTCTGCACTGGCTATGGTAACATATGCCTATTATCCTGGCACTTGGGAGGTGGAAGCAGAAGAATCTCAAGTTCAAAGCCAGCCCGGCTAAATAGCAAGTTCTAGGCTCTGTCTCAAAAAGAAAACATAAAAAGAAAAAAAATGCTTCTTTGGGCTTCTGCAGTTACGTGGTGAGAAGAGAGACCAAGCTAGTGAGGAAACCGAGTAACCTAACTCACCAGTTGTTAGCTGAGCTTGCTTTTCCTTAACCACTTGGCTCCTTTAAGGATGTAATGGCTGTGGTACCTTACGCATAGCTCAACAAGCAAATTCTGACAGAGGTTCCTATCCGTGGGCATCTCCCTGTTATAAAGGTATCTGATCCCCTTTCAGCTGAAAGCCCTGTCATTAGCTCATCTGACCAAAACAAACACATCCATTGTTTAAAGAGAGAACGGAGGCAAGCCTGCAAATATGGTGGAGTTGGTCTTAATTCAGATAGTTCTTTGCTTGGTTTTGTTTTGTTTTGTTTTGTTTTGAGACAGAGTTTCTCTGTTTAGCTGTCCTGGAAAATTGTTCGAAGCTGGCCTCGAACTCAGAGATCTGCCTGTCTCTGCCCCCTGAGAGCTGGGTCAAAGGCTCTCAGATATTTCTTGTTGAAGTGTTGTTACGATATTGTTGCTATTGTTGTTACTAAACTGGTCATTTCATCAAGGGCTCTGAGTATCACACTCCCTGGTAATCTTAGGGGAAAATAACTTGATTGATCCAAATGCTCCTCAAATCTTGGATTCTCAGTACCATCTCCTGATGTCTAGTATTGAGTAAACATTGTGTTTCAGAACTTGTCAGAACAGTACCTAAGCACAGCCTGAGTCAGAATGTGTGTGGTGGGTGTTACCGGACAACCTTAGTCTTCTCGAAAAGGCTTCATTCCAAAGGAAAAGAAAGGAGAAGTTCCCTTCCCCACCTGAGTAAGCACAAATAGATATGAATTTCTCAGCCTTGTCTCTTCCACAAATTCCCTGACCACATTCTAACCACTTTCTTCTGCCAGCTTTACCCGTCTTTACCCATGTGTTTTCTAAGTGCTTCCTTTGCTTGGAACATGGATAATAAAATCTCCGCAGGTCCATTTCCCACACCCCTTGTTTCCTCCCGTACACCTGTTCCTAAGTGGCTCGTATTTATGCTGATGTCTCCCATCTCTTCAGCTCTAGCACCCGGTGACCCTCGTCCCACACGCCTCTCTAGCAATGCTTCTTCATCCCCCAAATTTACTTATTCATATCTGATGGGAATATCATTATCTACTTGTCCGCCAGTCTTAATGACTAAGTCCTGACTGGAATTGCGCTGCCGCCTTTGGATCAGGAAGCTTGAACTGTCAGTGTCCGTCTGGAGACATGATTACTGGTTCCATTACAGCATCTTGCCCGCTCTCCACCCACCTTCCAGCAATCCCCTCAGAGGTCTGCACCATCCTAAGTGCTGCTGACTTGCCGGCGCTGTGCCGTATAAATAGGAAAGTTCTTGTCCTGGAGGGGTTTGCATAGACTCTGTCTGCATTTCTTCACTCGTTCACTATTAATATAAAGTGCAGGGAAAGGACTGGGGAAAATACAGCTTCACGGGCTAGGTATGGCAGTCGGAATAGAGCGTGTCCTTTTCCCAGGTGTCGCTGACAGCGCGCTGCTAAGATGTGTTTCTACAGGCAGCCACAGTCCAACCCCCCTTCCAAAGTTGCTTTTGCCTGTGTGTGTTGAGCAAACTGGTCACACACACTCCTGTCTTCCTGTGCTTGTCATATGTTTGGGTAGCGCATCACAAGTTACAAGGCCCTTTACATATCATAGTCTCTGATCTTGAAAACGTTTCTTGTCCCTGTGGTCTTCTCGCGGACGTTAAGCAAGATGGCTGGCGCATCCGCTTCTTGCTTGTGTTTGTTTTTCAAGCTTATGTCTCCCATAGACAAAGCCCCAGTGATTACTACACCTGCCAGATCTTAGGCTGAGGGGAAGAGTTTCCTGTTAGGAAGTTGGGAAAGAAAGGTCACGGTGCACTCACTGCTCAGCCCTGGGGTTTGTCAGGGCTGCCCCTCACCATCGTGGCCAGACTCCCCCGTCACTGGATTCAAATGAATAGGCTCTGTTAAACAAATATTTTAAGCATACTACATCAAAGCAGTTCTTTGAGCTTATGCTAATTCATATGTGAATGCAGATTTCCTTGCCTATTTCTATCCAGCACCCAAGCTGGCTTCATAGCTCTAAGTCATGATGGAGTCCCCTTATAGCTCCATGCTTGGCATGTGTTCTTACCTCTTCCTGGAATGCTTTTTTTTTCCCTCATCCACTGGGTTAACTCCCACTCATCTTCAAAATTTAGCTCCAGCAACACCTTTTATTTTAATCCTACACGTATGCCCCTACACATACTCTCTGCATCCTACACGCATGCCCCTGCACATGCACATACTCTCTGCATCCTACACATATGCCCCTGCACATGCACATACTCTCTGCATCCTACACGCATGCCCCTGCACATGCACATACTCTCTGCATCCTACACGCATGCCCCTGCACATGCACATACTCTCTGCATCCTACACATATGCCCCTGCACATGCACATACTCTCTGCATCCTACACGCATGCCCCTACACATACATGCACATACTCTCTGCATCCTCACAGGCAAAGATCCCATTTGTTCATCCTACCAACAGCTATTAGCACTTATTTGTGCCAAACACATAGTAGGCTGCACACACACACACACACACATTTACAGCCTCAAAAAGCAAGCAAATGGTAATAATTAAGGTGTAATAACTGCATAAGTGGAGCTGAATCTGTGCTTTGGGTATCTAAGCAGAAAACAGGGAGTGCCTCTCCATCTTGCTGGAAAAATTCACTTGCTGAGTGCAATCACACCAGCCAATCACTGCCAGTGTGATGTTTCTTAACTGTTGCTCGGCTTCTGTGGGAAGTCAGAGCTGTAGCTTTTAATGAAGACAGCCCAATCCCCCAGAGGCTAAAGATCATGCCATCATTTTGTTCTCGTGTATATTAAAGCTCTGTGAGCTTTCAGTAAATATTAAGCAGCAGCAGGACGTCCCTCCTGCCTCACAGCCTTGCGCCGAGGCCAGGAAGACAGTTTCACTCAGTCTTTAGCCTGTCTGCTTCTTAGAAAGTCCTGAACATCCTTCTGTAGTGTGGGTGACTGTGTCTTCCCAAATAGGCAGACGTGGACGGCAGGAGATGGGGAGGGAAACCTTCAAGGTCTGCAGACAATGAAAACTGAACCCTGTCTGTAGGCTCCGGCCAGGGACCGACAACTAGAGACGGACTCCGGACTCCGAGGACACTGAATTGAGAGGCTGGATTCCCTAAAGCAACAGGCAGCAGAGAAGACCTGGACCATTTGCGGCTTGGGTCACCTCAGAGCCTTACAGAGGGTAAGGGAATTCTTTGTTGTAGCTCTGTTTGAGTTCTGCAGGCTGATGCTGGTGTGTGTGGTGAGCTCAGGGTCTGTGCTGTGCTCTCTAAATCGGCGGTTCTCCACCCGTGGGCAATACCTCTTTGGGGGTTGCAACCTTTCACCGGGCCACATATCAGATCTCCTGCATATCAGATATTTACGTTATGATTCCTAACACACACAGAATTACAGTTATGTAGTAGCAGTAAAACAATTGTATGGTGGGGTGGGGGTGAGGTCAGCACCACATGAGGAACCGTATTAAAGGGTCACAGCTTTAGGGAGGCTGGGAACCGCTGCTCTAGGTTGATGTTTACATAGCACGGTTCTGTTGGTTTTCCCTTCTATGTTATTTGTGGCGCTTTCCCTGAGGTTCTTGGGTCAGTCCTTCTGAGACATGCTTCCAGGAACTAATCAACCAATTAAAATTCCACACACTCATGCACAGCTGCTGCTACTGCTCCTGCTCCTGCTCCTGCTCTCCGCTCAGATCCAGGACCAAGGAGATGCGTTTCCTAAGCTTCCTTCTTATGCCCCTAGCAAGCTGCCCTCCCGTGGGCCAAGCTGTAATCTACAGGACACAGACTTGGAAGTGGTGGTTTCCCGGTCTCACCATGGTGGTGGTGGAAACTGGCTAAGTTCCAGAATTTCATCCCTCCCCTTTGTAGACAGATAGTAGCAGAAACTGCCCTCTGCGGCCAGAAAACCACTCATAGTTGCTGTGTGGTGGGTGGGTGTTCTTACCGCAGAACCCTGACTCACCGTTTGCTCGCTCGGGCTCCACCCCGGAGGGGGCAGCGTTGATGTGAGGCACTGAGCATAGTTCCAGAGACGTGTTCTGATCCAGGTTTCAGCCAGATTTGCCTTTGTTTTCTTTAGTTTTTAATACTGGGAATGAAATCTAGGATCCCTTGTCTTAGACACGTTCATCACTGCTCAACCACATCCCTAGCCCTCTTTGCGGTTTTCGAGACTGAGTGTTGCTTAATTTGCCAGGCTGGCCTTGATTTCACTTCACAGTCCAGGCTGGCCTTGAACTTGTGATTCCCTGCCTCAGAATCCTGAGCAGCTGGGATTACAGGCCTGCATAAACAAGCCCAGCTTCTGGCCAACACTGATGAATAGGAAGGTATTGGAGCAAGGCGCCGGTGGCACATGCCTAATACCAGCACTCAGGGGGCAGAGGTGGATCTCTGAGAGTTCGAGGCCAACAAGGATAGTCAGAGCTGATGCATAAACCCTGTCTCGAAAAAAAGAAATGATACTGACATCATGTCTGAAATAAACTTATTTTGCCCAGTCATCTCTGCAACATTCATGTTCTGTGAAAGGCAGAGGAGCCATCTAAATTTTTTTCTACCTTGTTTTCATTTCTTTTTCCATAAGCTCAACCCTCCTCTCATTCATCTATCTATCTATCTATCTATCTATCTATCTATCTATCTATCTATCATCTATCATCCATCCACCCATCATCCACCATCCATCTATCCTCTGTCTCCTTCCTTCTCTCCCTCTGTAGACCAGGCTCTCCTCAGATTCACAGTGACGCTCCTGCCTCAGCCACTCAAATGCTGGGATTACAGGTGTGTGTCACCACACTCAACTTTCAGTACTCCTCAGCCTGCTTCTTCGCACTGAGGGGTTCGCATTGCCTGTTCCTGCTTAGGAAAGCCCTCATAAGCTCCAGAAAACCCCTTTTAATTGCTCCTGGGCCCTCCAAACAGCATTCATTCCTATACAAAGGATCAGGCTCAAGTGGGTAAGCGTACTTTACGGTAGCATGCTGAATAAGGAAACTCCTGCCTATTGGGAGGGTTGTCCCTCAGCCTCTCCACAGCCAGAGTGCCTGGCAAGAGAGGTTCCCTTGCTTGCCTTCCCTTCCTTATTTTTTCCCCAGCCCCTGCTGTGGAGCAAAACCCCCTCCACTCCCACAACCTCGCCCTTATAAATAATCCCGTTGCATTCTAAGCAGGCGCTCTGCTAGGAACGGGTGTGTCTTGCACACTAAGCTGCCCACATATTCGCTCTGCCTGACAAATGCATCTAAACAGCCTTCTCTGCTGAATGAAAGGTTCTGATCTTCGCCGTTCTCTTTTCCTCCTGTTCCACAGTCAGATAACCCCACTTGCCTACCCTACTACCTCCCTCCGCCTGCCCCTGCCCCTAAGGGTTTTTCTTTTTCCTGGACACCACAAAGCCTTGATAGGCACATAGTCACCTCATTCCTGAGAGACAACATCTTCTTATCCCCTTTTCATTCTTGTTAAAGAAGCAGAATAGAGAGAGAGAGAGAGAGAGAGAGAGAGAGAGAGAGAGAGAGAGAGTCCACCCACCAGCCAAAGAAGTAGTCATTAGGAATAATCTGTGAGATCTTTTACTTCCTTTTAAGCTGCTCTTCTTCCTAGGACTTTCTTCCCGCACAGGAGAGATCGGGCTTTCTCACCAGGCATCCGTTTTCCCCGTCACTAATCAGTGCCACTTGTTTCTCCAGGAATTAGAGCTGATTGTGTTAATTTCTTCAACACCGCAGGTGCGCGTCTCAGCCATCCCAGCACACTCGCTTTTAATCAAGGTGCCTTTCGCAGTCCTCTTCATTAGACATTAAGAGATTTCGCCTTGTTCTTCGGGCTTAATTCTGTTGTGTCCTCACAGCTTATAATCAAATCATAGCCGTCATTTCAAAATGATGAGAAAAATGAACAAACAAAAAAATGGCGCGAGGTCTCGTTTGGATCTTAACGGCTTCCTAATAATGGTTCCACTTCACACTCTTTGCCTCAGAGGCATACAGTGATCTAGAAAAGTGGACCATCCTTAATGAAAAGAATAGCCATGTTCAAAGAAACGATGACAAGGGTATTATGTTACTTACTTTTTATACTTGATCATTTTCTTAGTGCATGTAAGCTTGTGTCTTCATAAAAGTTCTCCCAAAAATAAACTCTTGAAACCATCGCAGTGACTTCATTGCCATCTGAGCTATCTTCCTATCTTCAGACTGAGAAAGTGGTTTCCTGACATGGGTCAGTGGGTGGAAGCAGACAGTGGGAAGAGCTACAGTGTTGGGAGGTGTCTGTTTCCAGACGCTAATGCCCTGCAGAGTGATGTTCAGTATCCCTTTTTATGTCGTCAGAAAAAGCCAAAGCACCAAATGCCCATACTGCAGCTCTCCCGGTGACTCAATCCTGGAAAGTGATTTTAGTATGTTCCGGATCCCCAGATAAACGTCTCCAGCTATGTTTCAGCCCATGCCTTCTAATCAACATAAAAGTCTCATCGCTGCTCTCTAAGTCTTCTGATTAAGAAAGAGGCTCCTCCTGTCTGTCTGGAGAGCTGTGCACTCCCTATAGCCCCAGCAGCCAGGTGGGCACTGCCAAGCTCTAGTGTTTTACAATCTGTTATACTGACGAAAACAAAATAAATAAATAATTTTAAAAACGAAGAAAGGATGGGCTTTTTAACTATTTGTTAGAAATATAAGTATAGGGGCTGGAGATATGGCTCAGCGGTTAAGAGCACTGATTGTTCTTCCAGAGGACCCGGGTTCAATTCCCAGCACCCACATGGCAGCTCACAACTGTCTGAAAATGCAGTTCCACAAGATCTGACACCTTCACACCAATGCACATAAAATAAAGTTAAATAAATCATTAAAAATTTAAAAAAAAGAAATATAAGTATATATTATACTTGCTGTGCACTTCAGCCCACTCATTTAACTCCTGAAGTTTTGTCATAGACTTTCCCTGTCCTCTGAATCCAGTTAATTCACTGTTTGGGAACTATTGCTCTTATCTTTGTATTTCAAAAACTTAAATCAAACTTTATATAGTTTGTCTATTAAGCTCTTTTGTAGTTTCCTATTGAAATTATTTCTCCCTTCTTACCGTTGTTTTTAAAAAATGCTTTAATAACTTGGAAGGCACATGGTGGTGTGTACACCTTTAATCTGACTCACGAGGCAGAATCAGGTGGATATCTTCAAGTCAAGGCCAGCATGGAGTCCCAGGTCAGCCAGGCCTACACAGAAAGACCTTGTCTCAGAAAGGGGGTGGGCAGTAGTAAATGTTGTTTAACACTGTGGTTCTAAAAGATTCGGTCTGTCGTGGGGAGCGCAGCTCTTTTCTCCTTCCATTCTCCTGCTCCACCCTTTTCTTCCTTTTCTCTGTCATTATTTCCCCTTTAAAATACAATCCATTCTCTTTCCCATTCTTGTAGCCAGTGATGGGCCACAGTCTCACTAGGCTAGCTTTGAGGTGTCCATCTGCAGGGGTGCACAGCTCTCTGGAGACTCCAGGGGTGTGCCTGTTCCTTGTCTTTCCAGCTTCTCAAGTCCACTGACATTGCTTGGCTCGTGTCCTCTCTTTTTTTCAAAGCCACTGTAGTCTTTCTCATCTTTCCCATGTCCCCGTCACAGAGCAGGCGTCCTTTGGTCAGTCTCTCACTGGTAGACCTCCCATCCCACGCTGTTAGGAATCACAGCCATCTTTTTTTTTTTTTTTTATTTTCGAGACAGGGTTTCTCTGTAGTTTTTTTT